ATACTAGAGCACATGCCGTCATCGTAATGGCGATCTTATGAAAACCTGAATATAAGATGATCCCTGAGTTACCAAACGGCTCTCTCCACTTGTTAGTGACTCTGATGTAGAGTGCTCCGCATTCATTGATTGCAGTGTTCAGTACACGTGGATTCAGGCATGATTGACCATAGGGAGCAATACATATATGAAGGACATCCAGAATATTCGGGGGGAGGGACACCGTGAAAAGGTGCTGTTGGCGTACTATAAAGGTAGAGGGCGGTGACGAGAAACTATCACAATCGAGATGTCGCTAGCTCTCATTACTCTGTGTTTATCTTGGGTGGGAACGATCACACTTTTCTGTAAAGTTACTTTCAATGCCATTTGGAACCCTAAGCAACAGTCAGAGTTTCTCGTATGCCTGGCAAAACCCGCACTAACACCGGGGAGGAAAGCGTTTTTCGTTCTGTGAAGAGCATTTTCCAGCTCAAGCTTCAGTGTTGACGCAGAATAAATGCCTCACCTACAACAGAATGTATCCAGCGTATCGAGAGTACCATCTAACCTTAAACAGCAACTTGGTCAGTATTTTTTATTCTGATGAATACTGATTCTACTCGAAACTATCCACACCTCAGAAGCGTTTGACAGCCTCGAAATTCGCATAAAACTGCTTGCAAATTTGATTGAGAGCGACACCCCACTCTATAATGAAGCACGTGGTTGATTGATGGACCTTGCTTTTCTGTTTTGCTTCATATCCTTTGACACAGCCTGCTTTCATGAGTGGAATTTTCATGTGAGCTTTAAATACAAGTTTTGTGTACAGGTTTGGGACCAGCAACTTCATCTTGAAGCTTGTGAAATACTGAATGGAGAAGGTTCAGCGGAATCTTACTATAGACTAGAAGGCGAGAAGTTAGTATCATCTTGTTTTTCCCCTCATTTTTTTTACTAGGCAGCGATTCTCGTTAAGGGAAGCCTCAACAGGCTCGGCTGTATCAAGAGCAAAGAAAAGCCTTGTACCAAATGAAGGGCCCAAACAAGAGGTCAGTCGGAGCATCGTAGGAAAAATTTTTATGTCCTGTTTTCTAAAGTGAGATGGCTCGAATTTTTTTACAGATTCGAGAGTTCGGCGAAGGCTACTATGGATGTAACAGCATCGTGGTTGGAAACAAGGCAAAAGTTTTGTGCCTCTACCAGCGCTGATTTGAAAAGGAAATTCGCATAAAGTTTTCCGAATTCAGACTATCCAATTAAGAACTAGAAAACAGAACCAGTCGAGTATGTGGGTTTCCGACTGAAGGAAACTCTACTTTTATAGAATCCGCGGTGGCGAGCTGTGAAACAGGGACTGTCTCTCATTTATTACTTCCCCTGTGGAATCAGGAGTCCATTGCAAAGCGAATATCTTCCGATCAGCTCGTGGCAATTTTCTTCCGATCCTTCAGGCTCTATTAATCCTTGGAACCGCTCCCGCTCATGACCAGAGTCATAGTCGCTCAGGATCCTATCAAACTTATTGCTAGGTGAACTCTAAATTCATCGGCAAATGCCCGAAATTTCACAGGGTTGGAGAAAGAACGCAAAGAGAGGCTTATGCAGTGTTCCTTTCCTTGGTTGACGGATGGTGTGTGTTACGGCAGTTTCAGTGCACACTTCAGGCCTTATTCCAGCCGTAAAAAAGCGGGCTATTCATATACGGAGGGGCTAGATGTACATCTCACACCGTGGCCCAGAAACACAAGCATGCTCTTATCAGAGCAGAAATCACAGCAAAAGACCTAGTCGCGACATCACTCCGGCGCGACAACGGAGCGCGACCAACCTGTACATAACTGTTGAGAAATTCACAGTGGAATGTGCACTCTCGTAGTCTACGATTTGTACTTCCGTTTCGCGCTGGTCAACAACACTATTTATTGCCAAGCAAGGAACAGTCAACAAACAAAACACAGATCACACAGCTCTGGGTTGCCAAGTGTCTACCTTGGCACTAATCTGCAACGCAGTGAGAGACTCACCGAAGGCTGATCCGATCCGAGAGGCAACCTACTGGGGCGAGGGTACGCGATCAACTGAACTCCATGACTTGATAAGACATCATATCGTTCTTAAGATAAAAGGAACAGGGACTCTCTGTCATTTCCTTACTCCTGTGGAATCAGGAGTCCATTGCAAAGCGAATATCTTCCGATCAGCTCGTGGCAATTTTCTTCCGATCCTTCACGCTCTATTAATCCTTGGAACCGCTCTCCGCTCATGACCAGAGTCATAGTCGCTCAGGATCCTATCAAACTCATTGCTAGGTGAACTCTAAGATCATCGACAAATGTCCAAAATTTTACAGGGTTGGAAACAGGACATAAAGAAAGGGTGATGCAAGGTTCAGAATAAGAGATCACCAAGAATGCATCCTTTTTACTGTCATAAAAAGTTGCGTATGTTTCAAGTGTCTAAAAAGGAATTCATCCATGGCTTATTCGGACCTTCGTGTTGAGGAAAAGTAGAAAGTCGCGTTCGTCAGGATGTTCCACCGTGATACGTATGTTCGGAACACATCGGCGGTAAAGCTGACGACGATTACATCGTCTGTGTAGCGCTTTTAAAACAGAATTCCAGCGACCAGTGAAAAGAAAAGAAAAAGAGAAAAAAGTGGAAGAACCGAAGCCCAAGGAAGAAGTTAAACCCAAGGAGGAGGCAAAACCGAAGGAAGAGGCAAAGGTTGAAGATGAGGTTGCCCCCGTTCCAGAAGAAAAGAAGAAGGATGAGCTCAAAGCAAAGAAGGTCGAGAAGGTCAGCGAGGTCACCGCAACTGTGATGGCTACGCTCACGAAGAAGGAAGAACGGTCCGCTATAGAAGTCGATCTTGTATCGTCACCGTTAGAAGCGATCTTCTTTCAATTCGATCCAAATAGACGATGGCTAATAGCGGCGATATCCTCAATCCCATGGCAAGGCCTCGTTTCTGTGAATAGAACATGCCATCAAATTGGAAGATGTTACATTTCAAGATTGCTAACGGAGCTCTCGTAAATCTTCCTCCATCAATCCGAATAAGTGTACTTCATCATAATGTTCCCGCAGTAGTTCAGTCACATAATTAATGGCTCCTCTACTG